GTAACGACATCTAGCCTGGTTTTCTTTTATAAGTTGCAAAAACTTTGTTCATCACTGCTCAATTTATTGTTAGGTAAAAAAATCACAGTATTCAATACAGTTTTTATTACGGTTTGTGCTTTTTTAGTTTCAATCAAATCATTTGCATTTCTCAGTGACTACTAAACGACACAAAATTGTAGATATACAAAGATAATATATTATTGAGCATTTTTAATATAAAAATACAAAATTATACTTTATTCTCTACTCTAAAGATAGGAAACCCAATGTCAAGCATACCTTTTATTCTGATATAAACATTCACATTCAATATCAATTTTATACAATGTTAACCTAAGCAAAATTATTTAGCGCGTATCTTAGTCTACCAACACAGTTAATTTTCTTACTCATTTTATAGAACAAACAGAATAGCTCAAAACCCCAACGCCAAAACACGACACTGTAGTTGTAAACAGTTTACTTCAGTCCCTGAAGAAGGTAACTTTGTTACCGAAAAGTGCTTCGGACAACTAGTGTCGTGTTTTGGCGTTGGGGTTTTGAGCTATTCTGTTTGTTCTACAACAACCGCCAAAGTTTTTCCAATCTTCATATTACTCATTTTACTTATGTATGATCTTCAAATTTTAAGAAATTATCAATAATTATTCGACAACTACCGAATATTATTTTACAACTATTTTCAGTAATTGCTTTTCTACTATCATAAAAATTACCATGAATACGTATTTCTTAATATTAATTATCAGTGACTTCTACTAGGGTCAATTGAAAAATCCCCGGCCTGACACATAGATGGCGGCACCAGAACTAAATCCATATGATTTTCAGTTAGTCCTAACCTTCAAAAGACGCGTCTATAAATTTGACGGCTGTCGGATCATTAGTTTGTGAATTATAGCATTTTTAGTGAAGCAACTTTTGTTATTGTGAAAAAAATGTATAAAAAGGAATTTCGCGTGTTGATAATATATTGCTTTTTGAAGGGAAAAAATACAGCTGAAGCAAAAACTTGGCTTGATAACGAATTTCCGGACACTGCCCCAGGAAAATCAACCATCAAGGATTGGTATGCTAAGTTTAGACGTGGTGAAATGAGCACCGAAGACGGTGAACGCAGTGGACGCCCAAAAGAGGCTGTTACGGACGAAAACATTAAAAAAATC